GGTTGCCGTGGCGCCCGTCGGTGGTGGGGTGGCCCCGGGCTGGTCACGGTTGGCTTCAGTGTAGCCCACGGTGGTCCCGGCGTGGCCCTGGATGGTCACACTGGGGTGTGACCGTCCTTGGTTGCCGCAGTTGGTCACCGTTTGGCTATGAGTGGTCCCAGTGTGGTCACTGTTGGCCCCAGGGGAGCCCTGGTTGCCCCAGTGTGGCCCCAAATGGTCCCAGTTTGGCCATGAGTGGTTCCAGTGTGGTCGCTGTTGGTCCTGGGAGAGCCCTGGTTGCCCCAGTCGATCCCAGTGTGGCCATGAGTGGTCCCAATGTGGTCATTGTTGGCCCCACGGTAGCCCTGGTTGTTCCAGTGTGGCCCCAGCTGGCTGCAGTTTGGCCACGGGTGGTCTCAGTATAGTCGCTGTTAGCTCCTTGGTAGCCCTGGTTGCCCCAGTTGGTCCCAGTGTGGCCATGGGTGGTCTCACTGTGGTTGCAGTTTGCCCTGGCAGAGCCTTGGTTGCCCTAGTCGACCTCGGGGTAGCCCTAGTTTGGCCATGGGTGGTTGCAGCTGGCTCTGGGGTGGTCCCCCTGCCACCCACTGTGGCTTCAAATGACTTCCCGGTGGTGCCAACTCCTCCGTGCCCACCGGTGCTGGGCAGCCTTTGCTCAGTGCTGCTTCCCTCCAGCGCGGCGTGCAGGCGTGAGGGGGTCATTCCAAGTGCGCTGGGTCCCATGAGCAGATGTAAAACCCCCTTCCCGCCCCAAGCAGGGGCTGCAGGAGTTGGGGACAGGCTGGCTCGGGGGGAGGAGGAGGAGGAAGAGGAGGAGGTAGGAGCTGCCTCCACCCCTGCCCGGCACAGGCACCTGGAGGGCTGTGCATGCGGAGAGGAATAGGATGGACATCCATGTCCGTACCCCAGCCTGTCCTCCAAGGTTTTCACAAACAAGAAACAGATAACTAGATAAATAAATGACATAATGTAGGTCATGTATTGGTAGAATGAGGAGGAATGGGTTTAAACTGGAAGAGGGCAGGTTTAGATTAAACATCAGGAAGAAATTTTTCACTTTGAAGGTTGTAAGGCACTGGAACAGGTTGCCCAGAGAGGTCGTTGAGGCCCCATCCCTGGAGGTGTTCAAGGCCAGGCCGGACGTGGCCTTGGGCAACCTGGGCTGGTGGGAGGTGTCCCTGCCCATGGCAGGGGGATTGGAACTCGACGATCTTCGAGATCCTTTCCAACCAAACCATTCTATGATTCTATGATAAAGCTGTGGCTGGGCAGAGCTTCACTCTGCTCCCAGGGTATGTGCAGTGAGGTGACTTCTTGGGGTGTTGGGCTTCTCCCCATCCCTCTCAGAGTATCCCAGGATTTCGCTTACAGAAAGCGGCATACACCAGTTTCTCTTGGATGCGAAATCCCAGCCAGGCTTGCTTTCATGTGCACCACCTATCCCTTCACATGGACCTCTCGAGACCACCCCATTTTGCTCAGCTTGGCTTCTCTTAACCCACCTCTCAAAACCGAGACACTTCCCTGGCCCTGTGTGACCCAGCTGTGGCATGTGTAGGTCGCTCGCTCTCCTCCTCCCCCAAGGGAGCCCAGGGTGGTTGTAAGGATGCATCGCCGTTATTTTTACCGTCTCCCGACTGCTCTGGGTGTGTGCAAGGGAAAAGAGGCAGAAAAAGTGCACCTGGGACCTAGCGGGGATATCTGAGGGCTCTGGGGAGCATGTGCACCCAACCCAGGTGGCACAGGGATGTCCCTTGTCCCCTGGGGGGCAGAAAGGGGACCAAAGGCTGGAGCTGTCAAGTATGGCCATCATCAAATCAAACTAAAATGGGGGCAGGTACTAGAGAAACAGGCAGGGAGGGCCCTACAGTAGCAGGGACAGAGGATCGCCCTGCCAGGGAGCACGGGAAGGGGCTTGGGCAATGGCGGGACTCTGCCGTGGATCAAAGCAAAGCCCTAGGGTGGGTGGGGGGGTGGGTCTTTCTGCACCCTTGCATTGCTAAAATCCATGATCGGTCCCCATTGGGGCTCCTTGAGGTCAACACAAGTTTCAGCATGGGAAGGAGCCACTGGAAAGTCCTGAGGGCGAAGTCCAGGGCAAAACTTCTGCTAGTGGAAAGAGGCAGCAGATGCCCCCAGCTCCTTCCATGGCTGCTTCTGCAGTGCGCCCCAAAAGCCACTGGCAGGGAAGGGGGACGTGGCCTCGGCCCCGGCTGCAGGGGGGAACAACCCGGGCTCTGCTCTGCTTGCCAGATGTGGGCGGCACAGGGCCACAACTGGGCAGAAATTAAATGAAACACCCACTTACAGTGTCTTGTGACTAAATGATGCTGTGCTTCACCTCCCTGAGTGACCTCCTTGCGGAAGAAACATGAGTTCCTTTTGGAGGTGGGAATATCCCACGTGGGGTGGGATGCAGAAGCCCGGCAGGCAGCAGGCAGTGCTGGCAGGGACACGGCACCCCAGGGCAGATGTACACGGCACCCAAAAACCTGCTTGGACCCTCCAGGGGGGATTAGATTAAAGGCATAAATTCTAGCAAACTTTATGCTATGCCAGCATCTAATGCTGCCCCCCCCAACCACTGCCAGCCTGTCCCAGAGCTCGTCCCACAGTTGGGCTCTCCTGACTCCTCTGAGTCCGAGCCTCGCAGCACGGGGACAGGAGACCCCACGGCTCCCTGGGCTCAGCACCACGTCTGCATCCAGCACAGCTCAGCCTGCGGATGCCCGCGTGTCCACCCGCCGCAGCGTTTGCTGGTGCCAATGGAGCCACCACCGCAGCCCGACAGCACCGGACACCCGCAGAGCTGGACGGGCACGGTCCCTGCAGGGACACTGCCAGGGAGTGGGAGCAAACAGGAGCCAAGCACCCACGGAGCACACAGGATGCGTGCAGGGTGCCCATCTCCCGCACTGTGTCTGCTTCACCTGATGAAGAAAAGCATCTGCGATGCAGATAGCTCATAAAACCAGGCAGCGCCCGGGGCCGCTCCCCGAAACCGCCATGTGCTCTTCAGAAACGAGCTATCATCAGCTTTCTCCAGCGATTCAAAATAGCAGGAGGGAAGCCCTTCAGCTGCATCGTGAATCATCCCTGGGAGGCAAAGTGGTTATTTTTAGGGTGCTCCGGCTTGCTTGGAGCCACCAACGCGTTCCCCCCGAGATGGGCAGCACTGCTGCAGCAGGGGACACGGTCCTGC